TAATAAATGAACAGATAATTCGTGAGCTGTGGGACAATTTCAAGCAACCTTAAAAGATTGAGAGGAGTAATGGAAGTACATTTTTATAAGGTTTTTATACTGTACATGAAGTGCTATAATATTAAAGGCAGAGTGTGCTAAGGTTATATAGTCTAAATCCTAGAAGAACCCTAAAACAAAAACTATTATAGCTAAACATCCACAAAAGGAGATAAAATGAAATCATAAAAATTATATTGATCCAAAAAAAGGCAGGAAGGGGTGGTGAGGAAGAACTATAGGACAAATAGAAAACAAATATGAAGATGATAGGCTTAAACCTAATATTAATTAATAAGTATATTAAATACAAGTGATTAAATATTTCAGTTAAAAAACAAAAGATCACACATGATGGTGGTGGTGGTGGTGATGATAAAAAAGCAGAGACTACGTCTATAGCCAAACCAGGTACTTCTGGTTCCTTAAGGTAGTTTTCCTTGAATTATCTCGTTTGGCTATATTACAAACCACATTGGATAATAGCAAACTGCTAAAACCCCAATGTCCTTTATATTCAGGTTATTTGAAAATGCAATATAGATGGTGGGCAGGAAATGAAAAAGAAACAAATACGTTTGTTATGTGTCATCAAGTGCACTAACTTCACACTGCCTAGTCAGTAAGTTCAAAACACCAGCCAGCTTTTGAGGCACTGTGACTTAGTAGGAATCATATTGAGGAGTTCTGGCTCCTTCCCTGACTAGCAATGAAACACTGGGCAATCACTTCATTTTTCTGAAACTCCATTCATCTGAAAAATGGGGTAATAGCACATAGTTGTTGTAAATACTATATGCTGTTTCACTTAAAGTACATACAATACAGGCATTGCTCAATTAATGTTAACTTCTTTCCTCTTCCACTTTATTTGTGGATCTCAGTAATAGCCAACCAGGGGTGCCTGGGTGGCTCAGTTGGTTGAGCGTCAGTCTTCACCTCGGCTCAAGTCACGATCTCATGGTTTGTGAGATCGAGACCCATATCGGGATCTACACTGACAGTGTGGAGCCTGCTTGGGATTCTCTTTCTCCCTCTCTCTGCCCCTCCCCTGATTGTGCTCTCTCGCTCTCAAAATAAATAGAGTTTAAAAAAATGAGTAATAGCCAAACAAAGATACCAGGTCCCACTTTCTGGACCTGTAAATGTTACTTTAAATGGCAGTTTTTGCCATCAAAAAGAATGAAATCTTGCCATTTGCAACAACATGGATGGAGCTAGAGTATATTATAAACAAAATAAGTCAGTAAGACACAAATACCATACGATTTCACTCGTGGAATTTAAGAAACAAAACAGATGAACATAGGAGAAGGGAAAAAAAAAGAGAGAGAGAGAGGGAAGCAAACCGTAAGAGATTCTTAACTATACAGAACAAACTGAGGGTTGCTGGAGGAAAGGTGGGGAGGGGAGGGGCTGAACTGGTGATGGGTATTAAGGGCACTTGTAGTGATAAGCACTGGGTGTTTAAGTGATGAATCACTGAATTCTGCTGAAGCCAACATTACATTATATGTTAACTAACTAGAATTTAAAATGAAAACTTAAAATATTTGAGGGGTGCCTGGGTAGCTCAGTTGGTTAAGGGTCCAACTTCAACACAGGTCATGATCTCGTGGTCTGTGAGTTTGAGCCTGGCATCAGGCTCTCTCCTGACAGCTCAGAGCCTGGAGCCTGGTTCGAATTCTGTGTCTCCCCATCTCTCTGCCCCTCCCCTGCTCATGCTCTGTCTCCCTCTCTCTGTCTCAAAAATAAATAAACATTATGGGGCAGCTGGGTGACTCATTCAGCTAAGCATCAGACTTTGCCTCAAGTCATGATCTCACGTGTTCGTTGGTTCAAGCCCTGCATCGGGCTCTGTGCTGACAGCTCAGAGCCTGAAGCCTGCTTCAGATTCTATGTCTCCCTTTCTCTCTGCTCCTCCCCCACTCACACTCTTGTGTCTCTCTCACTCTCAAAAATAAACATTAAATTAAAAACAATAAACATTAGGGGCGCCTGGGTGGCTCAGTCGGTTAAGCAGCCAACTTCGGCTCAGGTCATGATCTCGTGGTCCCTGAGTTCGAGCCCCGCGTTGGGCTCTGTGCTGACAGCTCAGAGCCTGGAGCCTGTTTCAGATTCTGTGTCTCCCTCTCTCTGACCCTCCCCCGTTCATGCTCTGTCTCTCTCTGTCTCAAAAATAAATGCTAAAAAAAAATTTTTTTTAAATAAAAACAATAAACATTAAAAATTATTTTAATAAAAAAAAAATTAGAAACAAAAATACACTTTAAAAATATAAAATACAGGGGTGCCTGGGTGGCTTAGTCAGTTAAGCATCAGACTTCGGCTCAGGTCATAATCTCACAGTTCGTGAGTTCGAGCCCCATGTCAGGCTCTGTGCTGACAGCTCAGAGCCTGGAGCCTGCTTCAGATTGTGTCTCCCTCTCTCTCTGCCCCTCCCCTGCTCATGCTCTATTTCTCTCTCTCTCTCTCCCTCAAAAGCAAATATTAAAAAAAAAATACAAATCTGAGAATTACATTTTTTTTAAAAGGCAGTTTTTACTGGTGTCATTTGGATTACCTGGGTGGGTCCTAAATGCCACAAGAGAAGCCAATGGAGATTAGACACACAGAGGTAAGACAGAAGCAGAGATTGGAGTGATGTGGCTACAAGCTAAGGAATGCTGGCAGCCACCAAAAGCTGGAAGAGACAAGGCACAGACTCGTCCCAGAGGCTCCCCAGGGAGTACAGCCTTTCCAACACCCTGACTCCAACCCAAGAAAACAGATTTCAGACTTCTGGCCTCCAAAACTCAGTTTCTTTTGTTTTATGCCACTAAATTTGTGGTATTTTGTCACAGCGATAGGAAACTAATACACTAACCATAACTAATTCAAAGGCAGTTACTCAGCTGGAGAAGGCTTTCTGATAACGGCACTGGGGTCAGGGACCATGGATGCAAACTACTTGATAATTAAGTACACAAAGATGAAAATGACTAATCACTAAGGCTTTCACCACATCTCAAGCCTGAAAACACCTCAGAGGAGCCAGCTCATTCAGGTACATGACAGAAAATATCCATTTTCCAATGGCGTTTCAGAGGGTTGAGGGACCTAAGAGCCAGGTCCTCTGCCTCCTGGGTATGCCATATTGAGACTATCTGTACTACACGTCTTACTGTTCTAGCTCAATCTATGCTTTCCCTCACTGTGTGAAGTCAGGCACAGGCCTCCTGATCTTGTTCCTGATATGCTCTTCCATCTCTAAGGAGTCCATCACTCTCCTCAAATAACCCGTCTTCTGGTACTGACCTTAACTCGGATCTCTATAGGAGAATACTGGGATAGCTAGGACACAGGTGCACTCTGAAACCAGACTGACTGCCCATGTCTGAAGCCCTACTCTGCTACCTCTGTGTCCTTGGGTGGCCTAATCAGTCTTTTCCTCAACTGCAACATGGAGCTAATTACAACACCCACTTGAGAGAATCGTTTAAGTGTGTGCAGTGACTAGGAAAGTGCCTGGCATAGGATGAGTGCCAAGGGTATTATTGCTGTGATATCATTTACTTAAGGGCAGCTGTGGCTCACATGGCAGCATGTGAAACCAAGTCCCAAAGCCTGTTTACTCTCACCAGTTTTATTCTGAGTGACTTTTAAATTATCTGCTCTCAAAATGATCCCCCTAGAAATAACTGAAATGCCTAGCAACAGTAGGCAATAATCGTGGTATGTTCAAGTAACAGAAAACCATGCAGCATTGAGAATGGATCTATACTGATGACTCCATTCATGTAAAAAATTGTGATGGTAGAAATCAGAAAAGAGGTTACTATGAGAGAGAAGTAATGACTAGAATGGGGTGCAAGGAGACACCAGGTCCTGGTATGTACTTTCCTGATTATAAGGCTATGCTCTTTATAACATTTTAAGTTGTACAACTATGATTTGTGCATTTTCCTGTATGTATATTATACCTCAATTCTTAAGTTAAGCGATCCCCCAGCCTATTACCCACTGGTCATTGCAAGGACATGATACAACTGCTCATTAAACTGCTGGCAAATAAGGAAGAGATGGTGAAGCCACCAGGTGCTGGATTTCAGGGAACAGGTAGTCTGGAATATGGCAGGGTGACTGCCACGATGGTTGGCAGCAAAAGGGCACTAGACAAAAGAGGGTGCAGACTACATTCATCATCTAAAGGGCCAGCTCTTTGTTTTCTTACTGAGACACCTCAGCACCCCTTCATATGAGAACCAGAGCTTTTCCTTGGCACACTAACCAGATCAAAGGGCAAGGTGGGCATGCTCTTCTAGACAAATTGGTAAATGCCACACTATTAAAGCTACAATAGCCTGGCATTTACCAGTTTAATCCCTAGAATAGCGTCCATTCCAAATAAAAACTGAGCAAACAAAATGACAGCTTTAAGAGTGGAAGCTTTTGGCTTTATAGTTAAGATTTATCTTGAGAATGGATTCATTGATGCAGACATAATTTTGTAGTAACATTGAAACTTGTCACAGAGCTTAAATAACTGAAAAAAACTGAAAAAAACTGAAAAAGTTTTTATTTATTTTGAGAAGCAAAGCAGGGGAGGGACAGAGAGGGAGAGAGAGAATTCCAAGCAGGCTCCATGCTGTCAGCACAGAACCTGACCTGGGACTTGATCTCACGAACTGTGAGATCATGACCGGAGCTGAAATCAAGAGTCAGACACACAACCAACTGAGCCACTCAGGTGCCCCTCAAATAGCTAGAACTTCTATATACTGGTGTCCTGATACAGCCCGTGCTCTTGAATTACAACGGGTTTTCCATTCTTATTACAATCACAGGAACTGCTGGAACACTAAACACTCTCCTTAAGATTTGTTATCCCTGAAGATTTTTGTTATGCTGGTAATGCTCTGTTGCAAGGAAAGAAAACCTACCCTAAACTTGCTTGAACAACAACAAACAAACACAACAGAACAAAAACAAAGCTAACTGTATTGGTTACTGGAATCAAAAAACCCAGATGTATTTCTGGCTTCAGATATGATTTAACGCAGTTGTTCAAACAGAAGATTCCAGGGTGATTGCTCTTCAACTATGATTCCTCTTTGACTCTGTTAACTTTATTCTGTCTCCACAAGAATCTAAGACTTCCTCTCCACTGTAAGACTAAGGAAAAAAAGAAGAGCATTTCTTCCTATTAATTCTTACCAAGTCCTGAGGCTCTAACTGGACCATTGTGGGCGAACTACTGACATCTGAACCAATAACTATAGCTAAGGGGAAGGAATCTGTGGCCAGGCCTGTGTCACACATCCCACTAGAGTAGAAGATGAAATCCAAAAGGAAATTTAGTGTACTATTACCAGTAAAAGGGGGTGAAAAATTCTGGGAGGCCAAAATGACAAATGTCCAGGACAGGTTTCTCTCCAGGGTAGACATGTTCATGATGACCTAGCCTGGAAGAAGTCCTAAAGGTTTTTTCATACTTGACACACTCATAGGGTTTCTGGCCAGTATGGATTCTTTGATGCTGAAGAAGATTTCTTTTGCTAGTGAAGACTTTTCCACACTCAGCACATAAAGAGGAAGACTCCTGAATATGGATCCTTAGATGCCTTTTTAATTGTTCCTGAGCACTAAAGCCTTTTCCACAATCTACACAGTCAAAGCGTTTCTCTATACTGTGGACTCTCTGGTGCCGAGTTAGTTTCGTATGAAAATTGAAGGCCTGCCCACATATTTTACAAGAATAAGGCTTTTCCCCTGTGTGAATACGTTGATGTTGGCTAAGATGAGAAGTCCTTCCAAAGCTTTTGCCACATTCATTACATTCATAGGGTTTCTCTCCAGTGTGGATTTTTTGATGTCGAAGCAGTGGTGAATTACCAACAAAAGCTTTTCCACACTCATTACACTCATAAGGTTTCTCCCCAGTGTGGATTCTCTGATGTATAACAAACTCAGAACTACTAGTAAAACTATTTCCACACTCTCCACAGAGATAGGGTCTGTCTCCACTGTGGATTCTCTGATGCCTGATCAGATTTGCATTATCATTAAAGGCTCTTCCACATTCTTCACACTGATAGGGTTTCTCTCCAGTGTGGATTCTCTGGTGCCGGATTAATGAAGAATTGCCATTAAAGGCTTTTCCACACTCATTACACTCAAAGGGTTTCTCCCCGGTGTGAATTCTCTGGTGTCTAACAAAGTAAGAAAAATAACTGAAGCATTTCCCACACTCCTCACATATGAAGGGTTTCCTTGCACAGTGGATTCTTGGAGCCTTTCCTTTAATATTTTTTACTGTGGAGATTTCCTGGTGTTTCTCCAGTTCACTGGTTTCTAGCAAGTTGGTTCCCTGAAGAACACTCTTCTGCAAACCATGTGACAACATGACATCTCTTTCTTCAGAAATTCCCTGTGTTGATGTGGACTCACTGTTAATGTTGGTCTCAGTATCTAACATAACAGAAAACACAAATGCCACCTGAGAATTATGCTAGAAACAAACTAACATCAAAAATTATAGGGCCTTTAAAACAAACAAACAAACAAATAAACAAAAAATTAATTATAGGGCCTTTAGAGATTACAATTCCAACCCCCACATCGGACTGTTAGCAAGAACAGGCTACTAAAATAAAAGTGCCAAGTATCACACAGAGAACAGTTGAGGAGAAACAGGGTATTGGTATACACAGCACACATTAGATTGCTTCCTAAGCTTTTCCAGACTCCATATTTTTTTAATGACTTCTCTCTAGTGTGTTTAATCTTCTGACCTTATCATAGTAATAGGCCTACAAAATATCAAAGGCAAAGGGCCCAAGAGCAAGTGGTGACCCTGGGGCTAGCAAGTACAAGAGAACAGAGTCAGGATACAAAGGTGATGCATGAACTGTTCTTTTAAAATATTCATACCCGGGGCGCCTGGGTGGCGCAGTCGGTTAAGCGTCCGACTTCAGCCAGGTCACGATCTCACGGTCTGGGAGTTCGAGCCCCGCGTCAGGCTCTGGGCTGATGGCTCGGGGCCTGGAGCCTGTTTCTGATTCTGTGTCTCCCTCTCTCTCTGCCCCTCCCCCATTCATGCTCTGTCTCTCTCTGTCCCAAAAAATAAATAAACGTTGAAAAAAAAAATTTTTTTTTTTAAAATAAAATATTCATACCCTGCAAATGTCCCAAAAGACTGGAGACACTGAGCATTAAAGGCACTAGGCTGTGGCAAGACAAAGAAAAAAATCACACTCAGAGGTTCTTAACTGCAGGACATCACCCCTAGAAGTTATTAACTGCAGGTCCATAGATGTCAATGAATACCCCAAAACTGCTGACAATTCCTGTCTTGTCATCAGACTCTCACAAAAGTCTGAATCTCAAAAATGCAGAGATTTTATATGGAAAGAATTCAGTTTACTTAGATACATCAAGACTGCAGAGCAGTCCTTCTCATATTAGCAAAAGGAAGAGAAACAGCCACCTATAAAATGGCATTTGTGTTCCAAAAGACTGGATGCCATTTTACCTAAGTTAAAGTCAATCTATTTTATACAAAATGTTAGACTAATTTTAACATTAATCTGGGTTATCTGGGACTCATCTGCTCATTAATCAAGTTCATCCTTTGAATGTGAGTTAAACAAGTAAGAACCCTTAAGAGGAAAGCAGTGGGAGAGGAGATGTCAGAGACTGAAGCAAATGGGAAAACCAGTAGTCTGGAAAAGGGTGATCATGACAATGGAGATCTGGTGGTCTGCTCTCATACCCTGCCTCCTTCTTGCTATAAAACCAGGACTGAGCAATCAATGACCAAAACACTCTATTTTCCTGCTACCTCATACTGTGCAATTCATCTGGATCAAGTTCCCCATAGCAGTTCTTCTAAGCAACCACATTCCTAGGTCTCTAGCCATTACCCCCACCTTCCTGCTGAAAGAACACAACTGCCCAGATGCAGTGGCCTCAATGTCTTTCCCTTCCATTTCCACACCCACTAGTCCCAAGCCATCCACTGCCCTCTCAAGTCACACTTCCCAGTCACCCCAATGCCATGTCTTCCCTTTCCCCTGCTACACTACTCTACCAGCTATATCATCCCTCCTTTTCATCACCAACCTCCTTCTGCAGGTCCTCAAATCCACTTGACCTGAACAATCTTCCCTTCACATCCAGCTTTTCTTATAGTAGTGTTTAATCAAACTGCCTACTCATTAGTTGAGAAATTGACATCGTGTCAATTTTTTAAATGAAATTCATTTTTTAAATGAAAACAATTTTTTAAATGAAATACACTAGCCTAACATAGAACAGTATTCACGTACATTGCAATGCCAAGGTAAATGTTGTTTCTTGATACTCCAGTCTCAGAGTACATAGTGAGGGTTTTGATGTAAAATGTAATACCCCATGAGGCTCATAATAAAAAAAAAGTTTGACAAACATTTGATATACTTATATTCCGTTTCTAAACTTACCAGAATAAACTTATCTAAAGTGCTGCCTCAATTTTGTCATCTCCTACTCCCTCCCTCTGTGCAAAATACCTATCCTGAAACTCCTACCTCTGGCTTCAGTTCCATGTTCCCTCATAGGGACCCTCCTCTGCCTATTTTCTCTTCCCTCTCTCTCAACAAAATTAAATAACCCTTAACACTTAAGATTCAGCCCTTTGTTCTCTCTGGGTGTCATTTCAATTAAAACTCTGGTAGAGTACACTTGCATCTACATCTGTAGACCTGACCTTTATCTCAGACTCTACATTTGCCTTCTCCATGGCCTGCTCTGGCCATCCACTTATACATATTCTAAAGGAACCTCAGACTCTATGCTCACATCTGAATTCACACGAATTAAAAAGCTCCTTTTATGTCATGACTTCCTAGTGTTATCTGAGTCAACTCTCCTCTTTGATGACCAAGTTTTGATAAGATCTGGTCGATTGTAGCTCCACACATACTCTTTCCTCTTTCATTTTTTTTTTTTTTTTAACTTTTTAAGTAGGTTTCATGCCCAGCACAGCACCCAACACGGGGCTCAAACTCATGACCCTGAAATCAAGACCTGAACTGAGATCAAGAACTGGGACGCTTAACCCACTGAGCCATGCAGGCACCCTTCCTTTTCCATTTTTGCAGTGCCACTATCCCCTATCCAATTCACTCACTCAAAAGTTAACTCTTGACATATAGTAATAGTTTAATAAGATTTTATTCCTTCAATTTCTTTCAGACCAATCCAAAGCACATACTATGTTAATACTTTGCAAATGCAACCAAATATGGGCCTGTGTCACTAGAGGCAAAGTCACTGTGACAGGGGTCACTGCTCCTGCTGCATGATTGGTTTTACCTGCTCTGTCATTTCCTATTCCCATGCCCTAAGTTCTTTAGGATAGAGCCCTCAGGTCCACCACAAACTCTGCAATCTAGATTTTTCACACAAAGTTCAATGGGTAAGACACCCCACTATATTCATCTCCATTGCTGGCTGAGTAAAGGGGGTGAGGGTATACTGTAAACTGCCAGCCCCAAATTCTAGGAAGTCTCGCTTAGGTTTGAGGTCTAAACCTCAGGCTCTTCCACTGCTTACTAGGATAGACAAATATTCCAGAAATACCCATTTTAAAATATGCTCCCCACTGGGGCACCCGGGTGGCCCAGTCGGTTAAGCATCCGACTTTGGCTCTGGTCATGATCTCACAGTTTGTGCATACAAGCGCCGTGTCAGGCTCTATGCTGACAGCTCAGAGCCTGAAGCCTGCTTCAGATTCTGTGTCTCCCTCTCTCTCTGCCTCTCCCTGCTTGTACTCTGTCTCTCTCTCTCTCTCTCAAAAATAAACAAACATTAAAAATAAATAAATAAAATTAGATTAAATATGCTCCCCCGGTGATTGTCCTGCATGTTAAACTGCAAAATTCTTCACAATGATTTACTGGATCCTCTATTGCTTTTCTCAAGCCAGATAATCCACCTTCTTTTTTTCCACGTGGGATCCACTGTAAGAAGTCAAATTTGGCACATACAGCCTGCCACTGAAGAAGCTTACCCGAGCTTCTACATGGGAATTCCTCCAAGTTCTCCTTCTGCTGTGCTCCCACAGCCCACTAGTACATACCAACACCAGTACTTAACACATTTTCCCCCCAGCTCTTTACATCTGTCTCCATAGCATGTATCATCCAGAACTTCTTAAAACAAAGCTTGGCACACGGCAAGTGCTGAAAACTGCCCTTGAACAAATCCATCCTGTCCAAAGAAGGACTACTAAAACGGGAAATGCTGAAACTCAGAAAAGAGTAATGGATTCAAAAATTGCATGAAATGATTAAGAGGAATTTGTTATCTTGATATGAGTTAAAATTAATGGGAAAAGTTTCATATTATTACCTATTAGGAGAAATAATCCATTTTATTTAAATCCTTCCCAGCATGGTTCATTTTAAAATACACTGCTCTCTCAAGCTCTATAGTGCCTGTTCTCAACCTGCCTCACTTACCTTCACAGAGGTCTTTGGTCCTCTCTGCAGATAGGTTATCCTGTGCCTCTAGGCCCCATGGCAAATTCCCTGCCTCCAGAAGCGAGATCAGGGCAGGTCTGGGAACTTGATATCCTGAAAAGGGGAGAAAGTGGTACCTTTCAGACATATGTCTGCTGTGTCAATATAAGGAAAACCCTAAGAGCCTCCATAAGAGTAAGATCTGCAGAAGAGGGCTCAGGATTGGGGAAAGCCAAGATTCTGATAAAGAAGAAACTGAGCATTTATGACTCTTCCTACTCAAGAGTAGGTAAGTTACTGAGATCCTATAAGACATATATGTAAACACAGGGAAGGGGTCACACCCTTCCCTAGACGAACTAAGAATTTAACTCTGGCAATGGAAACTACGTATTCCTTACTGCACAAAGCCCCTGGGAGGATGGGATGTACTCTTACCAGGGGATAGCAATTCCATACATTGGGACCAAACTGATCCAAGATCTCTCCCTATCTACCAACCTTTGAAGTGGGTCATTCAGTCTCAGCCCTGGAGCCACACACTGGAGGATACCAGAGACAACCACTCCCTCTCCACAATGCACACCCAGCCTATTAGGAGAAAACAAGGAAGGAAACAGGAAAGCATACACCTGAGTCCCAGGAGGAAAGCAACCTTACCCAGGGATGTCAAGTTCCCATAATTCTCCAGCATCACACTTCTGTACAGGGCCTTCTGTCCAGGAGAAAGACCAGTCCATTCTGTCCCAGTGAAGTAGACAGCCACGTCCTCAAAGGTCACCACCTCCTACAACAAGAAGTTCCTGCTGCCCCAGAGCCAATTCTCTGACTCGGCCTGGGTACAGTATGAGGGAGGGGTCCTATTAGGGATGACTAATGAGAAAAAGTGAAAGAACTGGATGTTAGACCATTAAAAGACTTTCTACAACCAAAAACCTAAAACTGCTCTAACAGAAGAGCTTGCACTAGAACATAAATTGTACTATTATAAAACACAGTAACATTTCAAAAACCTTAGAAAGCTTCCCATCAATTGAGCTTCCTAAAGCAGTTTCTTTGGTTTTGTAACTACTTTTAATCTTTTATTGTTATACCTACAAATGGACATTAGCTTCAATCGGTCTAGACACCCACTCACAGGTGGCATGTCAGGACCTGTTTTCCCCTTCACTGCCTCAGTGCCCAGCTAATCCATGTGTTCCCAGATGTGTTCATTCTGCCCCAAACCTCAAGCCTACATTAACAAGAATAATTTCATGGTTTGCTCTGATGAGCCATTCTCATCTAAGCCCCATCTGTGCTTGAAGAACTATCCTGCCTGTGCTCAAGAACGTCCAGCAGAGAAAGCTTAGTGCCGCCTGGAGCAGTCTATTCTGACAGACTTCCTGATGTGTCTTCCTGGGAGAATATACTTCTGGAATCAAATTGCTTCTGGGCAGCTCTTTTAGCTGCTTTTCTTTATATCTCCAAGACAATCTATAATAGCTTCTACCAGCCAAGTCTCATGATTTTTCAACAGCCCCAGTTTCCCTTCTCTGATGGCCCTGAGGCTCTATCTTCCCAGAAAGTTCTAGCATCTGGTTTATTTTTTTTTCAACGTTTATTTATTTTTGGGACAGAGAGAGACAGAGCATGAACGGGGGAGGGGCAGAGAGAGAGGGAGACACAGAATCGGAAACAGGCTCCAGGCTCTGAGCCATTAGCCCAGAGCCTGAGCCTGACGCGGGGCTCGAACCCACGGACCGCGAGATCGTGACCTGGCTGAAGTCGGACGCTTAACCAACTGCGCCACCCAGGCGCCCCTAGCATCTGGTTTAGATCCTCTCTATACTCCTCAGACTTTGGTATCAAACTGGTTACCTAAACATGCAAAGAATATCCTCCCACCTTCTTATGCCTCAACTGATTCTGTGGATCCCCACCTTCCACTAGTCCCAGCACTGCCTCAGACTCCCTGGTGACCTAATATGTCTGACCCACCAACTACACCAAATTTATCTTCAAACTGAAACTGGCTCCTTTTCTAAATCATATAAACTAATTGGCACAGTGAGCAACAATTTTGTTTCCCTACCTCAGTTAATGGTACCAATCTCAGCCCAGACTCCACTGGAAACTTGAGATTTCACCTAGACTAACTCGCCCCCAATCACTGCTCATTTCTGGCATGCAGTTGGTAATCAGATCCTGCCAGTTTCACCACCGAAATATTTCTACAGTCCAACTCTTCTTCACCATCACACAATCAGTACACGAGTTCAATAGCTGGGGGACACTTAAACAGCTCCAATTCCAGGCTGTCCTGCACTGAATCCATCCTCTGCCAGCACATAAAGTCATCAATTTAAAATGGCTCAGGTCATGATCTCACAGTTCATGAGTTCGAGTCCTGAGTCAGGCTCTGTGCTGACAGCTCAGAGCCTGGAGCCTGCTCCAGATTCTGTGTTTCCCTCTCTCTCTGCCCCTCCCCAGCTTGCACTCTCTCTCTCACTCTCTCTCAAAAATAAACATTAAAAAAAAAATTGTTTTAAATGACACCCTGGGGTGCCTGAGTGGCTCAGTCAGTTAAGCGTCCAACTCTTAATTTAGGATCAGGTCATGATCTCCCGGTCCGTGAGTTTGAGCCATGCATTGGGCTGTTTGGACAGTGTGGAGCCTGCTTGGGATTCTTTCTCTCCCTCTCTCTCTGTTCCTCCCCGAATTTGTGGTCTCTCTCTCTCAAAAATAAATGAACTTAAAAAAATTTTTTAATGATAACCTGACCCAGTCAACTCAATGACTTAATGAGTCACCACTAACCATAACAGTGGTTCTCAAAGTGTGATTCCCAGAGCAGCAGCAGCATCAACTGAGAACTTTTTGGAAAGCAAACTGATAGGCCCCACTGGAGAGCATTTCTGCTTCAATGAGCCCTCCAGGTAATTCTGGAGCACACTAAAATTTAAGAACCCAGGACGAGAGGATAAAGTCCAAGCTCAGGAAACTGAACTGCATCAGGTGACAGGCAGACAGTGAGAAGGAGGCACAAGATTGTACACAGAGAAACTAACTGGAATGCTCTGCTGATAAAATTCCAGAGAAGGAATGACAAACCCTGAAAGATGGAAATACAAAATACAGGACAAGTGGAAGAGATAGCAGGCAGAAGGAGCTGGACTTGGTGCCTCTCTAGAAGTGGTATCAAGGGAGAATAGGGTCAACAACTGCTCAGCAATCCGGAAACTGAGTGGTCAGGACAGTGATATGGTGGTACCAGTGACTCACCAGTACTTACAGAAGATCAGAAGAGGGTGGAAACTATATGGAAGATACTGTTTGGATTAAAGTCAGGGAGAGGGACCTGCCAGATGTCAGAAATCCAAGACTGGGACTTGGGATATGCTTCATGGATGCTAAGTCACTGGATAAGTAAATCCCAGGATGAGGAGATGGTAAAGCAACGCAGCAACTCACCAGTCCAAAAGTGAACCACAACTCAAGAAATCAATTTCCTAGTCCCACAAATGTAAGGTACTTAATGTTCACTTTACAGATGAAGTCTGTTAAGACACAAAGAGTTTAACTGATTGGCTCAAGACCACCGAGGCCCGATGGGATCCCTAAATTCAGGTGACCTGCCCTAATGCAGATTTGACCTAGTGCAGCAGATATCATAGTCTGCTGCTGCCTCACCTTAGTCAGCAGCACTGATCTTAAGAAGGATATATTTTCCTTGATTGTAAAGCCCAAACTTCTTTCTTTAGAAGGACAAATACTATAGACCCCCTCTTCTTATCTTCCTCCTACCAGCCCTCTTCTCCCACCTCCTAAGAATCTTGCAACTTCATCGATCTCGATCACTCCTACTAACAGTGGATACTTCTACCATCAGCCCAAGTCCCTCATTCTCACAGATCCCTCCTTTGTGGTCCCTACTGAACCAGTTCAGCAGAGATCCTTGGAGTACAGGAGGCTGTACTTCTGATTCCCTGGACACTTTCTCCAGCCAACACTTGTAGGACTCCTGGCTGCTCAGCCCCTCACCATCAACTTTCTCCCCAACATTCAGTCCTACTAGAAAGACTCAAGAGGTACTTTCCCACTGATTTGGTTCTAAGAGTCTTGCCAGAATTATCCCTCTCATAACCCATTTCCTTCGGATTAGATCTCTCGAAGGTTGACCTGAGGGAGTCATAGCTCACCTGGTGCCAGGAGTTCAGGGGCATGGCTGCCATCACCTGGGCTCCCTCTCAGTGAAGGGCAGAGGCTGAGGGAAGAAACAAAGAGAACCATGAGTGAGCTTGGCCCAGTCAAAGGCTCTCCTTTAAACCAACAAACCTGCTTGCCAGTAATAATACCAGCCATCATTTACTGAATGCCCACTGGGTAAGTGGCATATATTTCTTCTTTCAATCCACACTATACAATGAAGTTTGAATGCTGAGGAAACAGATTTTGAAAGAGTAAGTAACTTGCCCTCAGGCACCAGAGCAATGCTGCCTGTCCTGCATAAGACATGAGTACAGGGGGAATAGGAGTACACACAAGCAAAAAACAAACAAACAAAAAACCCCAAAGAAACAAACAAGTAAGCAAACAAACTAAAGCAAAACCTAACAAGAGGAAAAGGAAACCCAGACCCTTATTTTTTAAAAATAAACTTTTACTGAGAAACATAACAAGTTAAAAAAATAAGTTTTGGGGCGCCTGGGTGGCGCAGTCGGTTAAGCGTCCAACTTCAGCCAGGTCACAATCTCGCGGTCCGTGAGTTCGAGCCCTGCGTCAGGCTCTGGGCTGATGGCTCGGAGCCTGGAGCCTGTTTCCGATTCAGTGTCTCCCTCTCTCTCTGCCCCTCCCCCGTTCATGCTCTGTCTCTGTCCCATAAATAAATAAAAACGTTGAAAAAAAAATTTAAAAAAAAAAATAAGTTTTGGGGCGCCTGGGTGGCGCAGTCGGTTAAGCGTCCAACTTCAGCCAGGTCACGATCTCGCGGTCAGTGAGTTCGAGCCCCGCGTCAGGCTCTGGGCTGATGGCTCGGAGCCTGGAGCCTGTTTCCGATTCTGTGTCTCCCTCTCTCTCTGCCCCTCCCCCGTTCATGCTCTCTCTCTATCCCCCCCAAAAAATAAATAAATAAAATAAGTTTTGGATGTAAAATACACATCCCTTCAGTCAGTCTTCACTATAATCCTCTGAATTTTCTTCTCCCCAAATGAGAAAACAAGGCTAAGAGAATAATTCTCTCTACCAAGGTCACAAGGTGGTGGATGAATGAATTTGGATTCCAAACCAGATCTGTCAGAATTCCAAAGGCCATGTTCAGTAACTACATTAAATCACTTCCCATCATAATCCCAAGAGGATTTCTTTTAAAACCTGATAAAGTGATTCTGAAGTTAATATAGAAGGATAGAGTCACCGAGAAAATTCAGGAAAAGAATCAAAGGGGAAGTCTTCCTTTTCTTGGACCTTGGGGCAGGCATCTTTTTGCTCATCACTCCCTTCTGGGACCCAGTGATTACCAAAACTCATTAGCAAAGGACCCTGAAAGGCCACCTCAACATGCAAAATGTCTGGGTTATTATTTTAGTCGTATCCCCTACAGACACTGTATTCTTGCTAAGCGGTCATATTCTGCCCCAAAACCAGCATGTTCCCTAACTTCACTGCATGCTGTAATTTCCTGCTGGCCTTACATTATGCCACCCTTCTTGATTTAGCCATTCTGGCCTTCTTTCCGTTCCCTCTACGATGCTAACTCGGGATCTTTATACCTGCTGTTGTCTCTGTATGAACTACTCTGCTCCAACCTTAGGATCTTTTTAACGGACACTCTCTGCCTAGGATACTCTCCAGCAGCCTGACCCTTCCCGCAGGTAATGCCAGGTCATCCTTCACATCCTCTACAAACCAAGTCAGCTCCCCATGTTAAACACTCCACTCATACTTTGTTCACTTTCCTGTATACCACGTCTCCCAGATAGAGATTATACTCTTGCATTGATTTGTGCTTTCTTCACTCAACATGGTGAAGACTTCATTCATTATGGTAGACTTCATTCATTCCAGGCCAAGTGTGAGATATAGTGGAGACAGGGGAAAAGGGTGTAACCCCTTTTGTCATGGAGCTCAGTCTGAAGGACAGGCACACATTAATCAACGAATCTCATAAATAAGATCATAATTGTGATTACTGCCCGGGGAATCTATCCTAGATGGGTACATTTAGGGATAGGAATTAACTAGGTTAAAAAAACAAAAAACAAAAAACAAAAAAAACATGTTCTAGAGGTGAATGGCCAGGAAGGCCGTAGCAGAGCCGAGGAGAGTGTGCTGCAAAACGAGCGGATACAAGTCGCATAAGAGGACGCCATGCAGGGCGTTAGTCTTCGACCGAAAAGCAACCGGCCGCAGCCAATGGGTTACAAACAGAGTGAACTGGTCAGATTTAATGACTACGTGACTCCCATTAAACGGAAAGCTCCCTGAAGGCGGAGCCCACGCTGGTGTCCCCTACAACTGCCTCCCGGGAACCCCGAGCACCAGCTGGCCTTCGGCTGCTAGGTCAGGAGTGGCTGGCCCAATGAGCAGGGCTCTACAGCTGCGTCTGGCGCACGGGGCGTCTCTTTTCCAACCACCGCCTCCTTGTCCCAGAGCGGGCGCCGCGGGCCGGGGCGAGCGACGGCACCCGAGCGAGGGCGGCGCTGGCCCGCGAGCGGCCTTCACTGGCCTCCTCCACGGCTTCAGGGACCAAGGCGGCAGCCTCCTCCGGCGGTGACGGGCGCGCCGCTAGCGGAGACGACCGGGCGAACGAACCCACCACTCACCTCAGAAAAGGCGCAATGTGCGGCGTGACCGGAAGCGCGTCACTGCGGGGCCGCCGGGCCCGCGCCTCACGTGCTTCCTCTCTAGGAAGCCAGAGCGCGCCGCTCAGTGGTTCCCTGGCTTCACACCCCAGGCCGGGCGGGCGGGCGCGGCTGGGACCGCGGTCCTCGGAGACCCGGTAAAGGAGAGGCAGCTGACTGGGGTTTTCCCTGATCTCTAATCGAAATGTAGCATTTCCTTCAATTATGTGTTGGCAACAAACCCCAGTACCATCAGCAGGACCGTGCCTTTGTCACCAATAGAAATCACAGATACTTTCATATCGCCTCACAGTTGATGCAGATATCTCAAAATACGAGCTATTCTCTTCTTTAATTCGAAATTACCGTTGTTGTTATTAGGGCTCACCTTTAGATCTTGTCATTTGATTTCATCACAGTGGTAGAGACACGTATATTAATTACTGTATCACAGGTTTATTTTTTAAGCCATTTAACTGTATTTTAATATAACTAGTTTCAGAGTGGTCCACAAATGTCATCTCACTGCCAAAGAAGTAGTAAAGCCAAAAAACCAACCAAACTAAAAAAAAAAACACCTGTCCTCCTTAGGGGTAAAGATCCAGTCACATTAAGAAAGACCAGGACTGTGAAGAAGGGATACTACTGCAGAACTGTTTAGGAAGTGAAAACAGTGGAGATTTTTTAAAAGATTGAATAAGATGAGGGAGAGTGAGCAATTGATAATAGCCATAAACTTGGCTTGACCTGATAGAGAAAGGTGTCATTAACTGAGATTTAGTTAATTCAGTAATTCAGGAAGTGGAGCTGCAAGAAGACTACCGAATTCGGTTTTAGAAATACTGAATACACATACACACTTGGTTTTATTAAAATGTAATTCACATCCCATACTAATTCATCCATTGAAAGCACAAACGACACTCAATAGTTTTTGGTATATTCACAAAATTGTGCAACCATCGCCACAATCAATTTTAGAACATTTTCATCATTCCCAAAAAGAAACTCCATAACCATCAGCATTAGCATTCATTTTCCATTTTCCCTGGAATAGGCAGAATAATGTTCCCATCAGGGGCACCTGGGTGGCCTGGTATGTTAGGTTACGTGACAAAGAAGCATTAAGGTTGCAGATGGAATTAAGATTACTTATCAGCTGGTTAAAAAAAATTTTTTTTTCAACGTTTATTTATTTTTGGGACAGAGAGAGACAGAGCATGAACGGGGGAGGGGCAGAGAGAGAGAGAGAGAGAGACACAGAATCAGAAACAGGCTCCAGGCTCTGAGCCATCAGCCCAGAGCCTGACGCGGGGCTCGAACTCCCGGACCGCGAGATCGTGACCTGGCTGAAGTCGGACGTTTAACCGACTGCGCCACCCAGGCGCCCCACTTATCAGCTGATTTTAAAATAAGATTATCCCAGGACACCTGGGTGGCTCAGTGGGTTAAGTGGACAACTCTTGGTTTTCCCTCAGGTCATGATCTCATGGTTCATGAGTTCAAGCCCCACATCAGGCTCTAGGCTGACAGCATGGAGACTGCTTAGGATTTTCTCTCTCTCCATCTCTCTCTGCTCCTCCCCCTCCCCCACATGTGCTCGTGAGCATGCTCTCTCTCTCTCTCTCTCAACATAAATAAGCATTAATAAATAAGATAAGATTATCCTGGATTATCCAGATGGGCCCAATGTGATGAGTCCTTAAAAGTGGGAGAGGTCACTGGAAGAGAGAACCACAGAGGGGACAGAGAATGAGAAACTAGTCTTATCATTACTGGCTTTGAAGCTGGAGGAAAAGAGCCATGAATCAAGGAACTGGAGGATATTATGCTAAGTGAAATTAGTCAGTCAGAGAAAGACAAAAATCATATGACTTCACTCATCTGAGGACTTTAAGAGACAAAACAGATGAACATAAGGGAAGGGAAACAAAAATAATATAAAAACAGTGAGGCGGACAAAACAGAAGAGAATCATGGAGAACAAACTGAGGGTTACTGGAGGGGTTGTGGGAGGCGGGGTGGGTTAAATAGGTAAGGGGCACTAAGGAATCCCCTCCTGAAATCACTGTTGCACTATATGCTAACTAATTTGGATGTAAATTATAAAAATAAATAAATAAAAGCCCAACAAATGTATACTCTAAAAAAAAGTCTTTATTGTTGATAATTTTATTATTGTTTACAATAATGGAAACCTAGATGTTTGTTCAGTGGCAACACTTGGGAAGAGCTGGATTTTTTTGCATGGGGGAGGGGGTTGCTATACTTTTAAACTGCACAAACTCTCAACAACAACAAAGAATACCCCAGTGAGGAGAAATGTTTCAATTATCTCTGGTAAATGGCCATCACAGAGAAGCAGTGTGATTTTAGTTGTATTTTGAAGTGCTTTGGACAAACCACATACTGTGGCTAGAAGATGCCTTCTAGCAAGGCTTGAACTTAGGTGCCTGTTTCTCCATGATATTTTATTGATTTTTATACAAGTTTTGGTTTTTTTTCAAATCATTTAGTAATTCTATCAAGACTATTCTAGCAGGTGAAGGCCAGGTGAACAAGTACTGTCACAGGTGACTCCTGGGGAAGAATCAGCAGTTAAACAGTGTTGCCTATTGCCCGCATAGTCACTCACATTTTATAAGTCTGAGTGCATACTACTCTGGTCTCTTGATATTTAGAGAGAAATTTACTAGAATTTTGCATATGAATTTCCCTGACCAACACTCTAATCCAATGTCCTAAGACCTTTGTATGAGGAAAAGCTAGCCATCCTGAAATCTTCTTTTTGCTTAAATAGTCAGTAATTTCCACTCCCAGTTGTCTAGTCTCTTGGTGAGTCTTCAGGGTTAATAAATAGCTAATCGGTGCAGGCCTATTGTACCACCTACAAGAAAATGTATACTCATCATCAAACATAATTATCTTAAAGCTTCAGCCACTCCTCAGATTCCACTGGGAGCCACCTTCTCCCCTGGTCACCTCATGACCTGAATACCCAGCTCTCCCTCTAACTCCTTTGTTACCTGTCTTTAACAGCACTGCAAGATCAGGGGACCCGGGTTATAGTGTGTGATCATGGCACATTTGCTGTTATTCCTGACTTTAAAGTAGGGGGGAAAATATCAACTTCCCTCCCAGCTCTCTAAAAAGCCTAGGACTGAAGTTCTAGTGGGACTTCAATTTCATGCACAAAGTCATTTTTGCCTTGGCTACCCAAAAACGTACAGCTAAGCTCAATGTTTTGTCGCAGTGTCTACAATGAGAGAGGATTTGATGTGGATTACTTCCTTACAGCTGAAAACATACCAAATAGTGATAGAAAGAATGTCTTCCTTCCAAGATTGAGCACAAAGCAGGTATGTCTGCTCTTACCACTACTATTCAACACCATACTGGGAGTCCTAACAAGTGCAAGAAGGCCAGAAAAAGAAAGAAAGGGAATAGATTGAAAAGGAAGAAATAAAACTGCTACTATTTGCATGAGGACAAAACTGCCCACAGAGAAAATCCCAAAGAACCTACACAATCTCCTAGAATGAACAAGTGAGTTTAGCAAGGTCACAGAATCAAAGTCAAGGTACAAAAAAGAAAAAAACCAATTGTTGGAAACTGAAATTTCTTTTTTCTTTTTTTTTTTTTTTTTTTTTTTGGTGGAGAACGTGGGCATCGATCCCACCACCTCTCGCATGCCAAGCGGGAAACTGAAATTTCTGATAATAAAATTTGCTACAATACAATTTTAATAAATTTTCAAAAATAGTACCATTTACAACGCCACACAAAAAAATCATGAAATATTTAGGTATAAATCTAACAAAACATGTCTAAGATACACCTGCTGAGAACTACAAAATAATGACAAATGAAAACACTTAATAAATAGAGAGAGAGAAACACCGTATTCGTTGACTGAAAAACTCAATATTGTTGTCAATTCTCCCCAATTGATCTATATATTCAAAGCAATCCAATCAAAATCCCAGCAAGACCTTTTGTAGATATCAACAAAGTGATTCAATTGTATGTCAATCATACAATAAAGCTTAAAAAGAAAAAAGAGCAGTGGAGAAAGGAGGGCAAAACCGTGTAATGGTTAGACCATGAGCTCTGAAGTCAGACTGCCCCGGTTTGAATCTCTGCTCTTCCACTTATTAGCTGTATCTTTGGGCAAGCTACTAAACTTCCCTGTTCTTCAACTTCCTGACTGAAACAAGGTAACAGCATCTACTTCAAAGGCTGCTGGGAGGATTGAGTTAATGTGGAGTACCTAGCATAGGAAAGCACACAAAATGTTACTGGCTGTTAGCGTTTATTAAAAGGACAGCTATAACAAACAAAAGGCTAATATTCTGCAATGACTAGAACAAACAAACCTTGACTCAAGTAACTTCAACCATTTCTTTGCCTGAATCACTTTTGGTGTGTCTGCAGAATTACAAGTCCATTACTAAAAGGAGATCTCCCAGTGTCTTCTCCACTTGGGTGGACTGCTGTCAAATAAGGAGCTGGTAAAGCTGTCTTCTCAGGGCAAGATTTCAGACAGCAGGGTAAGTCTGGAATTGAGAACTGTCATGACAAGTAGTTGACAGTACAAAGTGGCATGGGAGGGAACAGGGCACAGACTGACATGCATCCAAAGAAGAGGACTAGCTCCTTATTTTTACAAAAACATACCTTAGGATCTCTCTAGATGGGTGAAGACTATTTTGATTTTCATGAGTGGGGGCAGGCAAGAGTGTTGCAAATAGTATCTAGTGGGCAGAAGTCATTGAGTAAGCTAAACATCCTATGGTGCATAGGATAGCGCCAACAAAAAACTATCAGGTCCCAAATGCTGATAGTGTCAAGTTTGAGAAACCCTGCTTTAGATGGATAACCCAGGCCATTTCTTAGGTTATAAGGTAATGGCAGACATGCTATTCTAGGCATTATAAGGACAAATGTCAAGCTTTTGCATGTAA